TTAATAAACAATTTTTTTTAAAGTCATGCTATTTTCTGGGGACGTACAGATTCACATTAGTCACTGGTCAGTGGTCATTGGGCTTGGGTCCCTGAGTGGCAGCCCCTTGTTAAGATGGACAGTTTCCCCAAGTGTCTGTATTTCCTACTGAACTCCAGTTGTTGCTAGTAATTGCTGATGAGTTGGTTGCTGCCCACCTTTCAGCTAGCACTTGATAATTTAATTATTTGCCTTGTGTTTTAATTCCCCTTCTGATATTCCCAACATCTGGAGTGATGTCTGACACATACTGCGTGCCAGTGAATTAAGTAGTACAAAGGATGATGGGAAAGTGTATAAAGGACTATGCTTAGATGGTGTTACCGATAATAGCTGAGAAGACCACAAAGCAGTTCGTTGTCCTGGTCCTGTTCCACAGTCTGGTGACGAGAACTCTGTTAGCGTAGCCCAAAGGGAGTAATGCTGCTAACCCAAAGGCCACCCTTCTCTGACTAGTCAAATCTACCAGTGGCTCCTTCATAGAAAGATGGGCAACCTTTAGTGCAGTTGGCAGCCTCAGAAACACAAGGGAGGGTCAGCTTCATGTTAGTTCTGACTTGATGGCAATGAATTTTATCTGATGATGCTGAAAATGGCATTTTTAGAGTTCCCTCATTAAGTTGAAGACTTTAAATACCAATTTGAATTACAAGAAGCTTTATGAGAATAGCCTCATTGGTGATTCTATATATGCCAAGGTAGCCTCAAAATAAGAAGTAAAAGTTGAGTTTTAAAGGCCGGAAGAGTAGATGAGACAGAGATTGAATAAGTCATTAACATCAGTTGTAGAGATGAGAAGTGGGCTCTCAAAGTACAGATGTCAATCCTTTAGTGTCTAACATTGACTGTGAGTCTTAGGGCCTTGCAACCATAGTCTATGTACTACGTTACACTTTGATGAGTAACAACTAGGGTCTGAATGTTCGTTAATTACCATATAAAGGCAAATATTTCCCGCTTGCTCGCTCTGCAACAAAGAAGAGGGAAGAAAAGCAATGAGGAAACAAACAATTTGTCTCAAGGGCTAATAGACTATGTGAACCTCAGCCAAAGCCATGAGACCAGTTACCACTGCAGACCATTCTAAAAGGGATCACACTGGAATGTCCCTCATAGAATGGGGGAAAAATATGGAACAAAACTCAAATATATAAAAATGGCAGGCTATGGTATGCCTGAGTCAGGTCATGCTTTTAAATAACTTCCTATGCATCTAAGAGCTAGACAATGAATATGAATAACAGAAAGAGAATTGATGCCTTTCAACTGTGGTGTTGAAAACGAGTACTGAATATCCCATGGACAGCCAAAAGAACAGATATGTCTTGGGAAAAGTGCAGCCCAAGTGCTCCCTGGAGGCAAAGATAATAAAATGTCATCACCAACCCACCTACCCACCCACTCACATTCTCTCATATTCATTCTCTCTCTCTCACACACACACACAGAGGACAGGATTAACACACACACACACACACACACGACAGGATTACTGGTATGATAGACTGGTAGGACCTCTGTACCCAGAACAAAATTCACTCTCACAGCTCACCTTGCAGTCAAACACTAGAAAGGTCTATGTCATTGTTAGCTGCCTTCAAGTTGACTGCAACTTATAGGACCCCTATGAATAACAGATCTAAGCCTGGCCCTCTCCAGCACCCACCATCCTTAAAATGCCTTTCAAGTTCAAGCCCACTGTGGTTGTCACTGGATTATAGGAAGATAGGTCTGTAAGGTGAACAATAATACCAGCGAGCCACTCACTCCTTAAATAATCAACCATGGAATAGCTAAAAGGCAGCAAGTCTCAGAAATCAGGAAAATGTAGGACAGAAGGAAGTGGGTCCAGCAGAAATGAGGACAGTGTGATTACATTTTGTGAACGATGTAATCAACGTTATCAAACAAAATGTGTCTGAATGATTGGATGGGCAACCAATTAGCTTTGTACACCATTACAATGAACCAAAACAAATACAGAAATAAAATGATGATATATTAGGATCATTTTTGCTTGCGAGCTGTTCGTGACAATTCGGCATTGATATTGATAACAAAGAAGTTATTACAAGACAGACACATTTACAAATCTCCAACACCTGGTGAGATACTTGTTTCTCTAAGTTGTACGACCCACCACCCTTCAGTGGTGAGTTAGACTCATGAGAGAAATATTCAAAAAGGAGCTGAGTCATCAGGCAAGCAGAGAGCTTCCTGATCCCACTAAAAAAGATGTCTAGATGTTGCAATTTTACAAGTAAATATCCTCATTCTGAACCATTCAAACATAGGAGCAGCACCCTGGAAAGAAATGTGTGAGCACCAATTCTACTTCAGCACTCTAGACTTTCACCTCCTTCTCCTCAGAGACAGACACTCTCAAGGGTTTGGGACAGGCCTTCCAATTCGTTTGTATACATTTATGGATATATGCAAATATGGTTTCCCTTTGTACATGAGCTCGTATTGGAGCTGGCTTTTGGCAATTTTTTTCCTCAACAAAGTCTTTTAGAGATCTTTCCACATCCCTGTAGCCCAATCCTTCACTTGCTGCCACCAAAGGGGTTATATAGCAACTCCCCAGGACAGGGCTGGACTTGAAAACCCTCGGGTTTTCCAAGATGTGCCGATGTCTCTACAGAGGCAGGACGCTGCATCCTTCTTCTATGGGGCAGCTGATGGGTTCAAAGAGAATTTGTGGATTAGCAACTGGGTGCTACCAGCTAAGAACTGTTCATTAAAGCTCTGTGCTATTTCTAATAGAACAGAAAACAGTATCTTCTTGAGCTTATAATAATTTAAATGCTGCTTCTCTTCCTTATGTGTCTCAAATCAATCTTTAGAAGGACAAATCTTTCCCTGATTCCAGAGGGAAATGTTCTTCTCTGCATCTTTATCCACTTCTCACTTTCAAGAGGGAACTCTCTGTTGGTTCTTGAATGAGGCTGCTGCCCCCCTTTTTTGGTTTCCTTTTTGCTTTAATTGCCACCATTCTAAAATGCTCAGCTGTGTATTATTGGCCTCCTAAGTCTCTGGTGTGTCTTGTGAGAGGACATGCCTGCTACACTGATGGGGAATCAGAGAACTGAGCTTATCTGGAACAAATATCAGTGTAATGATGGCCCTTGTTCATGAGTCTATAAAAAGACCAACCTTAAGGGTAGATTAAGGCTCTGTAATCTAGCCATGGCCGGTGCTTTGGCATGAGAAGTAACATCTTGTGTTGTACTTCTACTGCTACATGGGAAAGAGGTGGGTTCCGATTTTCAGCTAATTCCAGGCACTGAATCTGCAGTATTGCCTCAGGTTCTCACAGCATTTGGAGGTCATTATAAAATTGGGGCATATCACCAAGACCCTTCCACTTGTTTTCCAATTAATGGTAAATAAGCCAAAGAGCAATGATAGCAATTATCAACCACTAAGAATAGCACCAGTCTCTCTCACGTTTCTGTCCACCAAGTATAGAGAATCATCAAGGAAAACTTGGGCAGGACAAGGTGACCTCAAATCATTTGGTACAATCACTCCATTTTGCAATCATGTAGAAACAGAGAGGCCAGGCACCTTGCCCCATGCCACACACAGCTAGCTGGTGACAGAGCTAAGAAGAGAAAGCAAGTCTCCTGATCTCTTAGTCAAGCACTTCACACGTTGGCCATGGTAAATTCATTCTGCTTCTTCCTCTGGGAAATGAGAGGAGGGTTGTAACCAAATAGAAGGGATGTCCGTGAACTTGAGTCTTAGGCTCATGTAGCTGGAGAACTGCGAGATTGGAATAGAGATATAGGACCAAGTGGGACGAGGATAGAAAAGGAAGTTCTCCAGGAGGCCAGGTATTGTTTAAGGTCTTGCCCTTGAGTCTTTCACTGCTGTTCTGATGAGAAGCTGGCGCATCTCTTGGGGAATCTGGCATGAACTGCTTTTTTCACTGATGCGTTTAAAAGTGAAAACCTAGGAGCACCATTCAGAGTGGCATACTCAACAACTCCAGTGACCAATAGAAATATCACTATAGGACCCCAATCTACATCCTCTGTCCCAAAGGAGAGAATCTAGTCATGGAGAAAAATACAGGGAACCTCACTCAGGGTGACCAGGAAACTCTTGTTAATCCCCTAAAGCAACCCATTGCTTACCACATAATATACTTTGCAGAAATAGAAGATGTATTCATCAAGGAGCAGTATTCTTCCTAACCAGGATATGAGCTTATCCACTAACATTCTGCACCCCATGCAAACATTTCGAAGTCTGACTTTGGCTCATTATGGTCTCCCTTCCACCTCAGCATAATAGATGAGATGGCTGAACGTCTAGAGCGATTTGCTCTGAACAAGTCTCTAAAAGCAAGCCTCTCAGGATACCATAAAATTGCACGGACTGAAGAAGTGATTGGATTGATTAACTCAGACTCAAGGTTGGGTAATAATGAGATGCAGGCCGGGCCCAACGATGAAATGCTCTAATTGATTTTACGCATGTGGAATGGCACACTCACCCCAGAGCACACAGTAATGCCCCGGCACGCCGTGTGCATACAGATTTCACAGTGGATCATTTCTACCACCCAGATACTTCAGCTCCCTCTGCCCCGCTGTCTGCAAGCCAGTTCATTCCTGTGGGGCTCGGCCTCGGCACCTAGGCGCAAAGGTGGCAGAGACCACAGTGCTTGGGCCACTTCACGCTGCCTTCCGAAGAAAGCTGGTGTGCATACCAGCCATGCCATAGGGCTTGCTGCAGGGCACGGAGCCTCCTGGACCTTGTGCATGACCACTGGCCTGGAATGTCAGAGCTCTGGTTTCAATTACACTTAAGTGGATTTGACTACAAGTTTGAACTGATGCTAATTGGTTTTCAAAACACTGGGTAACAATGAGCGTTCTGGTCCTGCGCACGGAAAGAGGCACCAGCGCTGCACGTGCTCCTGGACAGGAGGGTGGCCTCAAGGCCCTTACCTTGCTGGGCAAGGGTCCAAGTTGCAGGATTTTAGGAGCTGCGGGGGCCGGCGGCTGGTCACGCACAAGCTCTCCTCGGCAGGCTCCCGCGTCTGTTTGTTCAGGCAGCTCACCACAGCCTCTTGGACACCTGTGTACAAATCACACTGTCAGGCCAGAGTGCTTGTGTGTGTGCGTGTGTGTGTGTGTGTGTAGTGGGGGCGATGAAGTGTGGACAAGGCAGCTAGTGGGAGGTCTCCAAGACTGGGGAGGCTCTGGCTGCATGTCAGAGACCCCAGTTTAAAGCCCAGGACTGTCAGTCTTGTCAAGGATCACTCAATTCTAGAAAAATCCTTCCAGGCTGATGGCCTCTGAAGCAGCTCTACCGATACTGCTGAAATGCTTTTCAAAGTGTCAGGCTAGTGACCATCATGTAGGGTGAACTCAGTCTCACAAGGAAAAATACTGCATAAACTCATTATTTGTAAAAACAAGAGAATAACCAATAGGATATGGATAGAAGTCCAAAGTGGGAAGAAAGGAGGACGATAGGGACCCAGGGTGGGAAGAAAGGTAAATCACGGGGTAGCAGAGCTCGGTGGGTGGAGAGAGGGCTTGAAGATATTAGGAAAGATCCAGCAGGCACCTGAAAAGACAGGGTGTTTGTAGGCATAGATCAATGGTGACTAATTTCATAGAACATGCCGAGATGTGTTTTTAAATGGGTCCTACAATGATTATGTGAGGGAATTTCATAACATGGGACCACCACCACCTTGGCAAGGAATGCCCCCTTATCCAGGAATGGAACAACCACCACATCATCCATATTACCAACATCATGCTCCACCTCCTCAAGCCCATCCTCCTTACTCAGGACATCATCCAGTACCACATGAAGCAAGATACAGAGACAAACGAGTACATGATTATGATATGAGAGTGGATGATTTCCTTCGTCGCACACAAGCAGTTGTCAGTGGCAGGAGAAGCAGACCACGTGAAAGAGAGCGGGAGCGAGAGCGAGACCGCCCCCGGTATAACAGAAGAGAGAGAGAGAGAGAGAGGGGCCGAGATAGAGAGAGAGAAAGAGAGCGATTATGTGATCGGGACAGAGATCGAGGGGAGAGAGGTCGATATAGAAGATAATGCGCTTTTGGAAGCAGTGATTGTTAAAAGATTTAAAAAAAAAAAACAAAAAAAAAATTTCATAGAACATAGTGTATGGGAATGATTGTATGAAATGCAGTGTGAATGAAGGGATGTGTGAAACAATGTACATGAATGAGACACAATGTATATGAATTTTATATGCAAACCAATATAAAATAAAATACATTTTAAAAAGTATTCACCATGTTACATGGTCACTAATGGTGATGATATAAAGCAGGAGGTATGCAGAGTGACAAGTCACAAAACTTTATAACATTATATTTTCATCACCAAGAGGCTTGATTATAGAGGAAGCTCAAGGCTGTGTTTCAATATCCAGCATTCTGTAAAGGCTTTTCCTGAACACTTGCACCTAGGGCTCCAGATTTTACTGGTTTTGAGTCTGGTTCATCTCGTTAGTGACCAAGAGCAGCTTCAGAAGGTGGAAGAAGAATGAGAACAAGATACCAAAATGGCAACATCTTTTAAGTTGTAATAATCAGAGCTGACATTTGAGCAAGAGCCCCTCATGAGATTGCTTGGTAGGCCTTACAAGGTGATCTGCAGGATCCAGGACCCTTCCTGGAGATGGGGAGCATTTACATGGGCAACACAGTGACTAGACATTTCATTCTGGGGTCCACAGCTATAGTAACAATAACTAACATCTACAGGGTGCACACAACTAACCAGAAACCAGGCTGAGCACCTCATATCCATCATTTAAACCTCTCATCAATACCATGAGGTATTTCATTTTTATACCCATTTTAGAGATAAGGAGACAGACAGATTGAAAGACTTGCCTTACGTCATATAGTTGAAACACTGAGAAGCTGAAGGTAGCTTCATGTTTGTGCTTCATGTTTTTAGCACTGAACTTTACAAACACAGTTCTACTAAAAACAATGACTAAGACACTGTCATACCAGCTTTCTTGGAGATCTTCAAGAATAACCTAGACGTTTGTCTGGAACCATTTCAGCAGAGCCCAGTCTAAGGGAAGCTAGATAAGACATTCTTGCTAATTTGCTTTCAGTCACACATAGCTTTGTCTTTAAACATATCTAATAAAGGGAGTCTATCTGTAGTTACATGCTTGTACACAGTTATAGAGTATGTGACTGTATGCATCAGTAGCTTTATATAGAAACACACATACTTTTTTTTGCTTTGTCAAGTGATACCTAATATATAAGTGAGTCTGTAATTTATCATCCCACTTAACAAGCTCAAGATTTTCAAGTTTCTGACTGATCACTGAAAACGATTCTCATTTTAAAAGTGTCTTTTAAAAAAACAAACATACAAACAAAAAACCCACAAAACCAAACCCAGAATTATAATACACTTACTTTCCTTCTGGTTAAGTCAGATACAATTTTCATCAATGCATTTCGACCACCATAGTCTCCTTGCCAAGGCTGAACCCTTTAGATTTTCTTTTTTTCCCCCCTGGGTTTTTTAAAAATGAATT